GGGAGAACTGGTGGAAAAGGGAGCGAAGCCCGCGGCGCCGTTGCTCCGTTATCAAGTTGGGGAAGCAAGTTCAAAGGCCGGGCCCGGCCGCCGACGTAACTTTGAACTTGACCAAGTTCGAGCCGGAGAGGAAAGGGAGACACAAAGGCGGAGAAAGAAGCAAAACAGCATTACACCATAACGGAACGGCATGAGTAAGCGAGCCGAAAGGAGCCGGCTGGGATGCTGACGGCCTTGCATAGCGGGCAAGGTTATTTTCTTCCTGCCACCACGCCTTGCCTCCTAGCCCCGAGCCCGAGCTGGTCATCGAGTTTATTGGACCCGAGTTTATTCTAGTCTCACTCCCGCCAACGGCCAATCCGATCCTCCTCTCGCTTTTTCTCGAAACAATCGCGCTGCTGCTCAGGTGGGTTTAATGAGCAGCGCCCAGTCTACAGGATCGTCCAATTCCAAACGGACTATTGATGGTTACGTCATAGCAGCATCGCCTCCTACGACCATGTGGATACAGTAGCGATTCCAGCAAGTTGACAACACTATTAGTACAGAAACTTTGTGTGGGGGAACGCGACAAGTCAATTGTGATAGAAATTTTAAAAAAATTTCCGGTTACTTGAGATGGTCGAATATTTTAATAATCGAATATTTGATATTCGAACCATCGGCACCATGATAATCGCATCACATTCGAATGTTGGTGAGATTATTCGAATATTCGATCAATATTCGAAGAGGCAAAACTGCGACATCTAAAATTTCCCTTTCAATTGTTCGAAATTTTCGGGTTCGACCCTCTACACCTTCATGCCCTGGAGTCTAAGTATTACCAGTGTGGTTTAAGAAAGTCCATCGTGTGAAAATACTTTTCCAAAAGTGCGAATAATGGAGACTTAAGCAAGCTAACTATGACTGAAAAAGTGGAAATTTTTTTAAAAATTCAAAAATTGGAACACTAATCGAAAATATTCGAATAATCGCTTCGAAGTAATATTCGAAATCGCAAGATTGGATTTCTCTAATAATCGCAATAGAAAAGTTTCGAACATTCGAATAATCGCATTCTAATTCGATATTCGTCCATCCCTACCGGTTACTCACTTGCGATGAGGTCTTTGCAGGTCTTTTGCATAGTTCATATTCTTTTGTTATATTCCGTACCACTCGTTTATTTTTAATCCTCGTAGAAGAACCACCCATTTTCTAAATACAATTCTAGCTGAAGCGCACTTCAGCTATGCATTCACCACTGCAAAAATTTTTGAGGAAATCGACAAGCCCAGCGTGCATGGGACTATCTCCATTTAAATCTTCCGTCACATACTTACGGCGCAATGATACAACTATTTGAACTCTCCGGAACGCGTGAGGTATCACGCCGCATTTGAAGGCGTTTTCAAAACAGCCAAGTTCCGTTTTTGGAATAATCGTTTTGCATAGTTCATATTATTTTGTTTCCATTTCTAACCTCTTGTTTAATTATAATCCTCCTATAAAAACCGTTGCAGGACATTTGGACAAATTCCGATTTTTTGAAAAAGTGTACATTTGCACAAATATGCATAATTATTCATTTTCGAAAGAAAAGTGGCAGCGCTGAAGTGAAGTGGCTCGCAAAAAATCTGTTAGAATATCAGGCAGAAACATACCTGAAGCTCGAAGATTGCCACAAAAAGCTAAAAAAAGGAGAACAAAGGAAGGTGGATAACATTTTCAAAATTTGGCAAGATTATTCCTCAGGTGAGCAGTCTAGTATTTCGAGGCTCAATTATATGAGTGCCATTGGGCACAAACTTCCTCCAAGGATTTTGTAAGTTCCAATTTTTCCAATTTTTTCCATTTTCTAATTTCTAATCTCCATTTCTAACCACTTGTTTAATTATAATCCTCCTGTAAAAACCACCCATTCTCTAAATACAATTCTGGCTGGAGCGCACTTCAGCTATGCATTCACCACTGCAAAAATTTTTGAGGAAATCGACAAGCCCAGCTTTCATGGAGGCTATCTCCATTTCAATCTTCCGTCACATACTTACGGCGCAATGATACAGCTATTTGAACTCTCCGGAATGCGTGAGGTATCACGCCGCATTCGAAGGCGTTTTCAAATCAGCCAAGTTCCGATATCCGGATTATCGTTTTGCATAGTTCATGTTATATTCCGTACCACTCGTTTATTTTTAATCCTCGTAGAAAAACCACCCATTTTCTAAATACCATTCTAGCTGAAGCGCACTTCAGCTATGCATTCACCACTGCAAAAATGTCAAAGGAAATCAACCCGCCCAGCGTGCATGAAGGCAATTTCAATTGTCCTCTTCCGTCGCATTTCTAAGGCGCAATGATACAACTATTTGAACTCTCCGGAATGCGTGAGGTATCACGCCGCATTTGAAGGCGTTTTCAAATCAGCGAAGTTCCGATATCCGGATTATCGTCTTGCATAGTTCATATTCTTTTTCTATATTCCGTGCCACTTGTTTATTTTTAATCCTCGTAGAAAAACCACCCATTTGTAAATACAATTCTGGCTGAAGCGCACTTCAGCTATGCATTCGCCACTGCAAAAATTTCAGAGGACAGACAGGGGTCCTCCATTGGCTCCATTTATAAGAAATGAACCAAAAAATTATGAAAGAACAAATATAAATGTGCGGCATAATGTGTGGGCGTTATTTTTAGACCGTTTCGCCACTATTGTGCTATGTCCATTTTCAAAATTAAAAAATAGCCTAAAAACGCTCCACCCTAGCGTTTACCTACTCGTGATCGATACATTTTTTGCGAGATTCCTGTCAACACTACTAGCAAAATTTCACGGAACTTTACGCGAAAGTTAAGTTCCGTAAACCTATCTCTATGTGGACAAGGTCCTCCATTTATAAGAAATGAACCAAAAAATTATGAAAGAACAAACATAAATGTGGTTTAATAAAAACTTCCGCCGCTGCGCCGCGCTGATCGCACTGTGATTAGCGCAATGCGTGAAGTATTCCTGCAGTCTTGTAGGCTCTATACGTTTCACGCCAACCGCTCCTGCTCCTGGCCGCACTGTGGTTGGGGCAATGGGTGAAGTATTCATACAGTCTTGTAGGCGCTAATATGTGTTACATGCCGATCGCCGCGCCCAGGGCTTGTCTTTTTCATCTCAGTTCCTCGTCATCATTCCTCTGTTCGTTGAGCTCTAGGCCAAATTGCGTGTTCAGTTCCTCTCTTTGCTTTACTAATGAAAGATGCTATTACTTGTATCACAGAAAAACGACAAAATTAGAAATTACTATACTCTCCGGGAAGAGAGATTTCGTCCCCTTTTATCATTGATAATTTTTTTTTCAGAATCTAATTTTTTTGTACCTACATTTAAAAAAATTGCAAAATTTGCCGCCATGGGCCGCGGCCCATGTGGCCACCCTCTTTATCCGGCCCTGGACGGATTTATATGTAAAGGAAGGCTCACGTGGAAATTTAGATACGCCCTAATATCAGAGGGGCGACAATAAGACTCAAGGAGAAGCCCGTCGATTTATTGCAAAAAGAACGTATTTATGCTAAAAAAAACCATGCGCATAGGGTTTGCATGCAACATAGTTCCTTTTAGCATACATATGTTTAATTCTTCAGTGATAAAAAGAACAGAACTTCATCTTCATAGGACCTCTGATTACTTTTTAAAAGGAAATTACTTGAAGCGCTTCAGATCAAAAGGGTGCATTTTGTTGAAACTGAGATGATATAAAAAATTGGTGCTTTTACGGCTGCATCCAAAAAAATAAAAATATGATGGTAAAAAATGGAAATTCTGTATCTGAGAGAATAATTCACGCCTCTTCCCCCTCTAAATTTTTGAATTTTTGAGAGTCTCGTTCAGAACTAAAAATAAATGGATTTGCTCTTAATTCTTTCCTGATCATTTTGTTTTTTACTCACTTTAACATCCGCTGTATCCTCTGAAAAAATTTCTGAGGTTATATCAGTAAAATGCTAGGATCAAAAAAGTACGAATCCATAGGGGGAAAAAAAATCCTAGGAAATTGTTCATTTCGGATTTTGAAATTTTCAATTCTAATCTCACTGTGAACTTAAGCTGTAATCGAAGCTTCACTTAAAAAAAAATCATCTTGCATAAAAAAGATTGGGTGCAGTTTTTTACAGTTTCCTAAAAGTGATTTCAAGCACTTTTGACTTTACATGCTTCACCTCCATAAATTTTTCATTAGAGCAAATTAGAGAGCAATAAGTATCTATTCATAATTATAACTTGGTTTTGAGGACATTCTTGTAGTTGAAAAAGTTAGCTATAGGGTCTTAATTGCTTTGCAACACTTCACAGGTTCAGGCGACACCTTGTTTTATTCGTATTCATCGAAGGCTATGTATGTTCTACATAGAGTGGTTCCTTCTATTTAAACGTGCAAGTTGCATAATTCCTGAAGTCTACAATAAAAGATGGTTGATTTTTACATGAATAATTAATTAAAATTAAATATTTGCCAGTAGAATGGAATTAAGTCATTTTTTTAGAATTGTGTTGAATATTTTTTTTTACAATTGCATTTCTTCAGCATTTGATACTTTTAATTGTGTACAGAGGGGAAAAGACAGTCAAAAAGCCTTTACCTTTAATTGGCTTCATTCTAAGACTTGTTAGTTGATCATACTTCATGCATTTCAATAATATTAGAAAAAATCAATTTTTTCGTCTTCCTTTTAGTGATCCCATTCCCTACTCAGCAAGTTACATGTTCAAAAAGGAGACTTTCTCAACTAACACAGGAAAATCAAACATAGATAGACTTTTACTAAAATGGTTAGAGATTAGAATATGAAATGACCATTCAGCAAGTCTAGGAAAACTGACATAATAGTGACAGCTAAGAGAAGAACTTCAGAGTCAGATTTCAAAATATGAAGAAAATTAACAAATCAAGAACAACTTATTTAAAATTTGTCGGAATTCAACTCAGGTTTGTTAAGACTAAGTGAAAAAAATAAATAGAAATCTGTAACGTTTAAAAACAAATTAGAAATTTACTAGGTTACTTTTGACATTCATACAATTCAAGTAAAAACAATACATCATCACCTACACACAGATCTCACAAATTTGACTTAAAATTAGAACACACCATAGAAAAATAAACTCTTAAAATTAAAATAAAAAATTCTGAAATTGAATGTGCCTGCAAAAAACAAGCATATAGGCAATCTATGATCATGCATTCAGAAAGAATTAACTAGGATAGAGAAGAGAGCACAATAGGCATCTACACAAGGTCTGAGCTAAGAGAAAAACATCACATCAATCTCTTCAAAATCTTACACAGAAAATGATTGACACAAAAAAGTTTGAAATTCAACTCCTGCAGAGACATTAACGAATATTTAAAACCCAGATGCATTAGAAGTTAAAATATACAAATGACATTTTTTGTATTTTCGCTATTCAACCGATGTTAATTGTGAACACTCACACCTAGTTCAGGAGTGCATTTTCAGACTTCTTATTGGGCAATTAATTTTCCTTGTGAACTTTTAAAGAGAAAGCATGTTCTGTAATGTTTTAATTCATACCTTGTTTAGAGGCCCTTCAGAGCCCATCAAAGTCAGGTAAGTTTGTGGTAATAACAGTGTAATATCTTGACTTCACACGTTTAATTGTTCTTTAAAAGGTACATTTTTTATCATTGACTTAAGAACTAAAAGACAGTCTTATAAAAATTTGCGCTACGTTAATTAAGGTCCTATTAGAAAATCCCAACTATGTACCATTCAAACATACTCTCACCTTCCTAGCAGCTCTAAAAAGTATCTAAGATGATAAAAAATTAAAGAATTATGACCATGATTTCTTAAATTCTTAAACATAAAATTGTCGAAATTAGACAGCTGAACTCGTTGATTAAGCAAAACAAAACACAAGAACAAGGGAAAACCAAACTTGGCTTCCCATTTTCTTGTGTTTTGTTTCGTTAAATTATTTGGGGTATCTTCGTGTCTCATTGATTAAATTTATATATTACTCTTGCTTAGTCTATCAGCACTGAGAAGTGAGTGGGATTTGATAAATTAACTTGTAACATTTCCTTAAACCAAATGATAGTTAAACGAGTATTGCATATGGGAATAAAAATGAATATAAATTAAACTAAGCTCCACCAGAAGAAGGGTTTCTGAAACAAATTTGTAATTAGGAACGAAGATGTTGTAAGGTAGATGTAAGCCACAAAAACAAAAAATGTTACAGTAAATCTTCCTCAAATGATGGCTTATCTTTAAAAATAAAAGGAGGGAGTTTTGTAAAAAAAAAAAAAAATTTCCGGCAAAAATGGCAGGATTGGCCTGTTGAAGTTGAGAGGACCGTTATTCCGATTCCAACATTGAATGTCCCCACTCATGCTTTATTTTGTTGAAGAAAAACCAACCAACAGTTTCTATTGGAATTTTTTCTGATTTTTTTCACTTGTTTAAAAAAAATCACACAAAATTGCAAAGAGACACTAGTTTTTCTTGAAGAAAATAAAACATGATCCTAGGTTTTTAAACCTTGAGATTGAGATACACTTTTTTTGCATTATAGTGAATCGGATAGAATGTTACAATGTGAATGCCAATTCACATGGCAGCAACCAAATTGTTGACAAAGATGATTTTAAAAAAAATTTTAAAAGTGAGATTTTTAACTTGACTTCAGCTGAGCCTGGAGCAATTATGTCTTAAATTTTCATTATTTCTGTAGTAGTTTACTCGAGTTACACTAAATGAATGAATGGTTGGACTGTACGTTTGATATCTTTTGGCTGTAGATACGAGTAAGCTTTGGTTTGAGCAAAAGACATTAAACTTTCTGAATCATTTCAGGGACTGCTTTGAATAAATCTGCAACAAGTCCAAAGTCAGAAACCAAGAAAATGGGAGCATCTGGATCTTTGTTGATGGCGACAATAGTTTTAGAGTCTTTCATTCCTGCTAAATGTTGAATGGCACCAGAGATTCCAACAGCAACATACAGCTCCTGCAAAAGATAAAGGAGGGAATGAATACCTGGGTGTTAAATCATCTCTCAAGGTACAGTACTTAAAGAAAGTCTATTAAGGAAGCCAGTGACCAAGATCGGTGCCAGATCTGTCGAAGGTACTTGATCAGCTTTCCTTAGATGGATTGCTATGCCCCTCTTGATAATCAAACTGCACAACAGACTTGCGTGCCGTAAATACTGTACCTTTAATTTGTTTATTGAAATTTTTCAGATGCTTTATGCTCACATGACAAAAACTTCTAGGGAAGGGAGAATATCCCCATACTTTTCAGGCATTTGTGCAGAACTTTTTCTCTGATTTTCTAGTGAGAATATTTGCTGCTTTTGGCCACTTGAAAATTATTATACATAATGGGCCTGTTGCAAACTTTTGCTAGAGCAAAAAAAAAGAGTTGTTTCTTATAGATAATGCCTCAAAAATCACGATGAGCGCATCGGCAAAGTCTGAAATGCACTCATAACTTCACAATCTGCGTTAGAAATTTGCGGTTTTTTGAGCTTCCCGCTTCAAAAACGATACTACGGCACAGGTGAACATTTTGTTAGAGGAGTCGTTCCATCGTCGGCAATACTCATCATGGCCGACGACAATCCGCCAAAACACCTGTGATGGGACGAGATAACACCTGAACAGGATTAGACCAGATAACAATCGACGTGTTTACGTTCATATTTTCCTCACCCGCCTTGATTGACCTTGAACTCTCCTTGAATTATGCGCGGAACTGCCCAAGCGTCGGCCATGATGAATATTGCCGACGATGGAGCGACTCTTCTAACAAAATGTTCACCTGTGCCGTAGTATCGTTTTTGAAGCGGGAAGCTAAAAAAAACGCAAATTTCTTACGCAGATTGTGAAGTTATGAGTGCATTTCAGACTTTGCCGATGCGCTCATCGTGATTTTTGAGGCACTATCTATAGGAAACAACTCTTATTTTTGCTCTAGCAAAAGTTTGCAACAGGCCCATTGTGCAAAACATTTGCACTGTGATGCTTTAGGACGAAAATCAAAAGATAACGAATATTTTTAAATTAAAGCAAATTAGGAATAGAACTTTTCGTAGGCTGTGTAAACAAAATTGAATGTTTACAAAAGGGAAGTATCATCTGAGATGGCAATGGAAAATTAGGAGTTTGGAAAGAGCACCTTGAACCTTTTGGATACTGAAAGTTTATAACTTATTGGGTACTTAGTTGATGATCTGCTGCCTATAACCACTGATGTAGGTCTACCACATTTACTAAGTAGCCCAGAAATTAAAAAGGTTTCATTAATTCGATATGCTCACAAGATTTTCAGCCCTGACTGTAATGCATTATAGAAACTTTATCAGCATTTTTCATTTTTAAGAGGTAGATGTTTTGACAGCATGTTTGACCTATTTGCAAATAAACGGTACTGATTGATCTGACATTGATAGCGACAAAAGAAAAAGAAAAAGAATATTCGAACTAAACAAAAATTCTGAGGTCCTCCTCCACAGAGGACCACAAACTGGAGTGCGGGTATATGCTGATGAACAGGGTATATGAAAAAGTAATAGGATGACAGAATAACACTAGGTCCATATTAAAATGTGAAAAAATCTAAGACAGAAAAAACATAAAATAGAATTTGAGTTGGAGCATATACTCTAATAAGTTGTAACTATTATTCTGTTTTTTTAATTTTTTCTTGGCTTTATTTTCCCAACAAAAAAGTAAGGACCCAGTGGTGTACTAACATCCCAGTACTTGAGGTATTCAGGAAAGCATTCTGGTGGTTTTGATCAGAATTGTAATTCAATTTTTCAAGAACAGATAGTACATCCAAAAAACGACATCCATTTATACGACTGCGTGCGTACTTCAAAAACTGAGACAGAGCAGACTCTTCAAACATCAAGCCACATCTCTAAATATCTTGTCAGCCCTAGCTGCATATTGACAGCGTAAGTCCGCAATCACATGTCTCCTTTGCAGTGTCTGAAAATCTCCGCCTCTATGTTATTTTTTAAAGGAGAATAAATTGACATCATTCCTTGAAGTTTTTGCAGAATTTTCTTTACACAGAGAAGAAGAATTGCCGTTGAATAGTTTTCCATTTAAAAAGTAAAGTATGCCACGAAATCTGCGATGTCGCAAACCAAGTAATGTGATTGCCGACTTACACCGTCCATATGCCCGCACTTCAAGGTATCTTTTAATTAGTTCATAACGAGCTAAAGCAACAAAAGTCATTCGTAAAACAAGGTTATTTGGCTCATAGAAATCAAAAAATTGACAACACTTACTTTCTCAAATTTTCACTATGAACTCACTTTGGACTAAAGAAGTATCAAATATCATTATCATCTATTAATTTCAACTTCACTTAAAATATTGTGAGAATAAATTAGGTATTTCACTTACAGGTGCTACAATTTTTCCTGTTTGACCAATCTGCATGTCATTTGGCACAAACCCAGCATCAACTGCAGCTCGAGATGCTCCGACAGCTGCTCCAACTTTGTCAGCAAGATCATACAAGAGCTTGAAGTTGTCTCCGGACTTTAGGCCTCGACCTTTGGAACATAGAAATTTGAAGAGGTTACACAATCGACAAAAGAAAAAAAAATGTAGACTTTGTGTTACATCTTAACTCATGACTAGCACATTCTAAGCCTAAGTTCAAGGAATGAGATCATCTGTTCTCATGGATAATTGGTTACTTAGATATGAGGGTGAGTCAGAAAAGTAAAAAAAATAAACTTACAAAATAACGAAACTAAACGATGACCCATTTCAGGACCCCTACAGTCCCCTATTTAAAGTTGCAATTCCAAAAAAGGTTTTTTTCTCCCTTTGCAAAACCAAGACAAATGGGCATTTTCTTGAATTCACTTAGTGAGTTTGAGTTTTCAATTTTCCAATTCTCTTTTCTTTCCCGTTCATCCAGCTCACAATTTGTTACCTCGTTTTCTCCATTTCTTTCAGTTTTGTACGAATTGAGGTATTGTTCAATGGGTGCCTTTATATAAGGTCTCAACTAGCAAAATCCGATAGGTTTATAGTTCACTGTAGAATCAGTGCATTTGAACTTCTAAAGGAAAATACCTAAATAAGTAAATGTAGATAAAAAGTCATGAAAAACAAAATTATCTTAGTGCTCAAAACTTTGGGGCCTTTAAGGTACTGATTTCAAAAAATTTTCTTCTTCCGTTGCTACAAGTTACCTGCAAACTGAACGGGAAAATTTGGCATGGGAAAACTTGTATCATTGCAGGAAGGGAAAACTTTTTTGAGGAGTTTTTCAGTTTTTTAAAGGAAAAGCCATATCTTATTGTATTTCATTCTTTCAATTAATCTTGACAATCAAGACTTGATTTTTCAATGGATCTGTTGCAGTATATCTATTGCAGATACAGCCGAGTAAGTAGTCTTTTGAAGGGGTAAGATCGCATCAAAATCGATGGGTCTATCAAAAAATTTTGGAATCTATTATTTGGTGCCCGATCTGTGTAGTTTGTAAAACACTTTTCCAAAATTCTCGCATCAGTGAGCTATTTTTTTTTTTTTTTTTTTTTTTTAAGTACCCAATGATCAATATAAACTTAGTAGGGGGAAGCTCCACGAGTCAAATTGTGATAAAAAATTTTTAGAGGCGGTGATCAAGTTTACCTTTGCTGAGAGATGGATGCAAGAAAACATAACATAAAGAAATAAAGGATCTCTTTGCAAACTCTACTGACGGATGATTTCAACTGATTTAACTTTATTAGAGGGACTTTGCCATCTCCCTTAATAAAATGGCGTACAGCATGTTCTTATTAGATGTCACACACATACTTCAGTAATCCAGTTGGACTTGCTTGTCTTTTACAGGCAAAATGCTTGTGTACCTACCTCCAGAGATAACAATTTTGGCACTTCCTAGATCTGGCCTGTCACTTTTGGTCAGCTCCTGGCCAACAAATTCTGAGACAGTTGATTTGAAATCTCCAGATGGAGCTTGTTCAATAGCTGCAGAGCCTCCATCTTCAGCAGCTTCGAAACTGGTTGTCCTCACACTGATGATTTTGATAGGGTCTAGGGACTTCAGAGTTAAAATGGCATTACCTGAAAAGAAAAATGTAGATGAAATACAGTGAATCTGATGGTATAAAGTATTATGCCTGAGAATGCTTGATGCTAACAGACGACAATGAAATTGCATGTATGGATGTACTTGCATCTTGTTCAAGCACAAAAATCAATGCAGACCCCCCCCCCCCCCCCCCCCATGAAAAAAAAATAAATAAATAAAAATACACTGCATTATGATTATGAGTAAGAAAGTTTGAGTGAACAATTACAAAAATATTGAGAATTTAGTGAAAAGGATAAACCCATCTGTGAATGTAGTCGAAAATGCGTACCACCATTGCATGCTTACGAAAGTTCTAAATATGTTTTACTTCTTGGAGAAAAAACTAAGCAGAAAATCTCTACAAACTTTTCTGTGAATAATTCCGAATGAATGAGGATATTTTACAAAAAATTTTATTAAGACAGCATGCATTTCTTTTTAAAAAATAAAATATGAGAGGCGATATGCGACACTGAAATCGAAGATACAAATTCTACTTTAGCCATTGATAGACGTATTTCAATCTGGGTGGATGAACAATGAGGAAATTATCAATCAACATTGTTTTTCTCTTTCTGCGGTTTGAATTTTTCTTTTTTTTCTTGATTCCTATTGGAACCTTTTCCTTATTATTTTACAGCACCCAGATTTTTAAAAATATTGAACATCCTACGATTTTTGAGACCTCATCAACTTGCAGTGTGTAGCTAAGGTATTTATTTATTTTTAATTTTTAAAGTTGATTTATATTATCAGAGTAGTACTGACTTTTGCTGTTTCATTTTATATCTCATCCAAGGGGGAGTGCATATCAACTAATAAAGCTGGTCTGAATCAGGAAAGTAAGTAAATTTCACACAAGAATCAGACCTTTCACTTGAGGTTGTTTGTGGCTCTCTCCTATATCTATCTTGACCTGATATAACCTTGACCTGATATAACCTATATAACCTAAAAAAGATGGCCCTTTTCATATTTTTGGAAAAAAATGTGTAGAAAAGAGTGGGAGAATAGACAAAGTATGCTGCACATTTCCTCTCGGGAAAAGTTAAAGGTTCTTATTGAAAACGATTCCCACAGAGGGGTCTGGAAATGGAATTCTTAACAATATATTAATGCTTCCAATTTTCATTAGTTAAATGAAAAAAATTAGAGTGGCTTCACTTGTATGATCTAACTTCCATTTCATCTAAGTTAAAGTTACTTATAAACATCTCGTTGACGGGTAGATTTCTATACTTCTTTTTTTTTTTTTTTTCTATTAGTTTATTGAAAACTATCACAAAAAGGATATTACATTCATTGTTTCTACTAGTAATTACAAAAGATAAAATTAACAACCGAGTAGTTAATTATGCAAGTAAATTAAGACTGAAGTCTCACAAAAAATATGACTCCTGAAGCCCACCCCCCCAGAGGAAGCAACCCCCCACGCACGAGAAGAGACGAGCCCCCGCTCCATACAGCCAGGGACCCCCCACCCCCAATGCCGGGAAGACAGCCGGCCGTTCATGACAACTACTTTTGCTCGGCAGGCGCAAATCACCTGCACTGACTGTCGCCAGGTAGAGGGAGGAGAAGACCCCCCGCCGACGGGAGGGGCACCGCACCCGCACGCAGAAGGCAACCCCCCCCCAGCAGAAAGCAAGCAACAAGAGTCAATGTCTCTAAAGTACGCCGACCGGCGCACACGGGCTAATCCCGCCGTCCGGTATTGGCCTTGCGTTGGTGTTGGGACCATCCGTCCATGCCTCTCCGCCCCAAAGTTGAGTACGTCCCTCTCATGAGCGCCACTCATCCCCGCCATCGCCTTCCAGTCCTTGATGAGTCCGAACGCCAAACCGAATGAATCCGGCTATATTTCTAATAGACACGCCTAGAGATGGTGACCAGCCACTCCACTAGCGATAATAACAGCGCCATTCCCCTCTCGTTCCTTCTGGCAGCAGCAGAGCCTCGCGGCCCTCACTCGAGTCGCGTATGTTCTTATCAAGTTAATTGAGAGAGATTAAAAGCTTGATAATATTGCTCGAGCACGACTTATCTCTCCCATATCACTAAACACTGTTGGCTGAACCCAAAATGGTGCACTAAAATCACTAGGATTTATATCTTTAAAGAGGAATATCTTGGGTTCAGGGAGTCGCACACGAATGTTTCTAAAAGGAAGGGGTTGGAAACTTGTTTCTACTAAGTGTGTAACACGGTAGGGGCGAAAAAACACTTCTGGACGGCAAGGAGAGAGACCTGAGGCGGGAGCGATCAAACTGGTGGCCGCACCGCACTCAGGCTAAAACGCGACTGTCTATACTTCTCATTTTGTGAAATGTTTTCTCCGTAAGATTTTGAAAAGAAAGACAGACAGTTTTTTCTGGTCTGTACTTTGTCTAGTGGCCGGGTCCAGGTATTTTCTCAGTTTGATCAAATAAGACGGGTAGCATTTGGACGTATTTATGCTAAAAGGAACTCAGTACAAGTGGAAAGATGGGATGTGCTCATGCAAGCTGCATAAGAAACAATGTAAAAGTGGACATAAGTAGTTCCTTTTCAGAAAATGGAAAAGTAGGATTTTCAATTAAATCAAAAGGAACTGAGCGCTACCTTGTGAGCAGTGGGCATGTGACAAGAGCGTTGTGAACAGAGCTCATGAGTTAAAGATCGCCTTGCCGATCGTCGCCACTCTCGTCGTTGCTGCAAACGTCACTGGGGCTTTATATTTCTCATTCATTCTTATGGCCCGAGCACTAAAAAGCACACTCCATCTTTCCACTTGCACATATTTCCATTTAGCATAAACATGTCAATTTCTCAAAGGTAGAGCACTATACAAATATAGTCCTATTTTTGTGTACAGTATATTATGATTCGATCAGTTGATAAAATGGAATTAACAAAGAAAATGAGAAAAAGAGCATACCTGCATAAATTGTTCGCACATATGTGTCTTTGTCCTTAATACCAATTATGTCTGAGACAGGGGAGACATCTAATAGAGCACCAACACGGGGTAGAACTGATTTACCAAAAGCACTAGCGGCAGCAACAATGTGAGTAGAGTTCAATTGTTTCTGAGTGGCGGCAACTAATGGAGCGATTGATTCCGCTAGAAATCCATTGAACTCAGGACCTTCAGCAGTCAGGACTTTATTTACTCCTTTGATTTTAGAGACTTGTTCAGCAACCTAGTAGGTACAAAAAAAAAAAAAAAAACAAATAAAACCGTTACACTGTCTGCCAAGCATGCAATATGTCAGAAATGTCTTTGTATTTGGGGTTGCAAGACCACTATGAAAGTTTGATTGCTGGCAGAGCGACGTTTATGGTGGGACAAAAAATGAAGAGCTCTTTGAAAGAATCTTTTTTACAGCTGATTCTAATTCCAGCCTTTCCCAAAATAACAAAGTCAAAATCCACCAAAGAGGCTGTCCATAAATATTGTTAGGTAGTAGGTAAATAAGATGAAATTGGAAAAGTCTGTAAAATTGAGCCTTTTAAGTTAAATGAACTTATGAATTATTTGAGCACAAAGGTGCTTTAGAATTTTGAAGTACCAATCTCCATTCCAGTCATTGCAAGATATCAGAGGAAAATCCATTGATTTCAAATCAAACCCCAATATTACACCTTCAACTCTCAGCACTAGAACTAGATAGATTTACCAAATTTTCTATATGCATTTTGCATGGAAGCATTATTACGAATCCCTAAAATACCAGTGACTCTATTTTTCCAAAATTGTGAAAACTACCTTACGCTCAGGAGTCCTGTCACATAATTGCGAATCTTTTTGTTTTTCTGTTTTTTTTTTCTAATGAGAGAAATCAAAGACACTTTTTTGCTTTAAAATATACTAGATGCAGGTAACTAAAAAAAAGGAGGAGTAGGATCAAATTTTAGGTGGTTTTTAATTGAGAAAAAATCATCCACAACATACATCAAAGTCTTAGACCGTTCTCCGGATAATATCAGGTATTCATACGTTACTCTTTTGTCGCTATAGGCATTAAATTGAAGTCTGAGAAATTTTACAATGTTGGTTAGAGAATCGAAAAACAAAAGACTGCAGGCATAACTACAGATCAAAATCTTACATCTAAAACATATAAATAAATCAATTTTGCAGTTTATAAGAGTAAAAGGTAAGAAAAAATAGTACCATTGCAAATATACTAATGGCTGTAGTTTCTACATGATGTTACAAGCTTAACTTAGGTTGCTTGTACTGGTGTAAAGGAAAGAAGTTGGAAGATGCATTGATTACTACTGTTCTTTACGCATTTAAGACTTCCGATCAAAAGCCAAACTCGTTTTGTGGATTTAAGTTCTGTTGCACATTTGAAAGTAGAAACTGTCTCGATATTTTTCAAAAAATGAACAACGTAGTGTGCTGGGCGTGCGCCGACAGACAACAGAACAGTATTCTAGAGATAGCAAAAAGTTAGGAATTCATACTTACAGGTGCAACTTTTGTTCCAGCAACAAGAACGGAAACGTCTCCTCCAAGTTTAGCAGCTGCTGTAACTGCATGTCTTGTGGCTGCAGCGACATTTTCATTGTTATGCTCAGCTAGGACTAGAGTGCTCTGAAATCTCTGACTCCCATGAAACTATAAAAAAATCCATAAAGATTACTCATCAAAAATGGGTTTAAAAGTCAAAAAGTCGATTTCCAGTTATTCACTCTCATTCGACAGACAACTGCACCCTGACAGTCTTCTGGACTTTTTTACTATCCAGGTGTTCGTGGCAATTATCTCTGTATGCAGCATGTTGACCTTGGTGCTTACAGCGAATTGCCACATCGACTGAACTCTCGTTTTTTGATACTCAGCCCATTGATAATGCTGAGTGAAGCATCATTTTCTATGCTTGTATAACACTTCGACTGAGTGGTTTCCTCTATCTCAACTCTGAGTAAGTACTTAATATGAGCGCTGAGCATTTATTTAACAGCATCGTTGATTTCAATTGTTAATACTAACCGATTATACTTCCATAAAAATCAAATACTAATTGAAAATGATTGAAACTAAAAGAAATAAGGCTCAGTCCAGGATAACTTCGTCAGCGGAGTAAAAAAGTTCGAGTCTGTATTATAAGGACAAGGCAGATTGCTTAACAATGCTGATAAGAATCTTTTATGCCGCAGAAGCTACATTGCAATATTGTATTGGATCATTGGGTGCTCTCTGGCACATGACCATAATGTAAGAATGAAAGAAAGATACTTTCCAAACATTATTAAAAGCAATGATCCTGAGATGATAAACAGATGGAACATTTTCTTCAGCTGAGTATCAGAAAAATTTCAAGTACGAGGGACAGTGAGATTCCAATCAAGCAAACTCAAGTTCATTCTGATGTACTAAATTCTTGCATAACAAAATTAGATTGAAAACTTGAGAATTACTCAATGGGCCGATTGGTATGTAAGGGTTGTGAAATATGTGACCTACGACCTGAGAGATAAGGGATTACCCAATTTGCAACTGACGAAGGCTAAGTACAAAAGTATATTAAAAAGGACCGCACTTCGTTAAAAATTGTGATGGTGATTGAAGAATTTGAAAGTTTGATTGAACAGCTTGAGAGGGGAATCCTAAGTGCCAACACTCTTAGAGGATCCTAGAAAAAATATGTATCTAGAGCAGACTAGATTTGGATTCATACCTGATTCCTGCTAACGCATTTCACAGTGCTGGCTAACGTTTTCGAGAACATCTTGGAAGCTGTATCGCATAAAATCTTGAAATATTCTCTCCGAAGTTAATTTCGAAGGAAAAAAATTAATAAAAACACTTCACTTGATGAGAAAACACAGTTAATTGAGAGAACGACTGACGGGGCCTGAAAAACAGTGCACTTCTAACCTCCAATGTCAACAATGATTCAGCTGACCAATGAGAAAGCGCTGCGCAATTTCACGCGCAAGGTTGCGCGCGATGATCAGATGTTCAATAATAAATGTTGTCTGTTCTCAGCAAAATTGGCTGTGACGAAAATATATTTAGCTTGCAAATTTAAAACTTTTTCGTTGATCTGTCAACATGTGTTTTGCTACTGATGTAATAGAACGGGCATTCAGTATTTGGCTGCATTGCCCGCATATCCGTGATATTGCCAAATATGTGTCACATAAACGATTGAACGGAACTAAAAATTTCCATCTAGTGCGGTAGGAGGGGGGGGGGGGGGNGGGGGTGTACTTTTCATCAATCCTAAAACTGGATGAAAATGTATTTTTTTATAATACTTTGGAGGGGGGGGCGTAGACAGTAACCCGCTTTACTTTTTCCGTATAGCTTCACTAATATTTAATTTCTTATTATTTATTTCTGAAAGAAAAAAAAAACTAGCGGCGCAGGATCAATGGTAATAACTGCATCAGTAATTATTTTCGCAATGAGACCATACAACAAAAAATAAAGGGAACGAAAAGAATAAAATAAAAAATAAAGCACATGCTGGAAGTCTTTTCAGAATTTAATGGTTGTCTCGTGAAAAATTTCAATTTATTTAAAGTGTCAAAAAGTAATTTTTATAGTTATGAAATAACGATGGCTAAAGTGAGAGACGACGTATCTCCTTTTGCGACGTCGTAGATTTCCTGCCATTTTTTATTGTTTCTTTGAAAAACTAGTCAACGCAATTCCTCGAAAACTTCCTTGATTTTTCTTCTCTACTTGGAGAATATTCTATAAGAATTTCAAGCTATGTAGTTGACTTGTTTCTGCTCGCAAAAATAATATAGGAGCGGAAATTTTGAAACAACGCAACGGAGATACGTTGTTCCGCATATTAGCCATCGATATCAACCGTGAACTAACCACGTATCTCGTTTGCGGTGTTTAAATATAAAATCTTCCATCTTTGATGCCCCGTGCTACCAACCCTGGTAAAAATTGGCGGTAGGAGCTGCGTTTCAAAATACCATAGGAGTACTTATAGCCGACTATAGAAGGCTATAGAAAACCATATAGCTGGCTGTAGAAAGCGGAGAAGATCATACGGCCGGGCTACACGAAGCGATAAAAAATTAAACAGCCGGGCTATAGTTCCTATCGCCGAGCTTTACACTCTATCGCCTGGTTGTTGCTTTATCGTCATCGGCTATAAAAGATTAGAAGAAATTGTGTAGTAATTCGTGCGCTTTGTAAATCCTTAAGTTTGTACGGAATCACCTTAATATTGACAAAACACACATTATATTTTCCTTTACTACATATTTGTTTTCATCAATTAAAATGAGAATAATTCATGCAGAGTGTGCAAACATTTCAAAGTCATGAGTTGAACAACGCTGACTCCACGAGATTAAATATTAGAGCCTAACACAAAGCGGAGCGGCGGCGCACCGGCGCCTACAAACCTAACAGGGATACTTCACGCATTGCGCAATGCGTGAAGTATCCCTGTTAGGTTTGTAGGCGCCAATGCGCGTTTCCCGCTCTCTGCCCGGCCGCTGCGCCGCGCCGCACGGTGGATCGAGTCAATGGGAGAGGTCGGTCATGGAGCGTTGCGCTTCCAATGTTACGAGGATAACGAATATTCCTGGTCATTTGATCGATTAAGTACCACATACTTCATGTAATTTTTCGCGTAGAATTCATTTTTGATGTTATTTTTGGTGAACAACGTACCTGAAGACCCGTATTTGTGCATTTTGTCGGGAAAACTATACAGGTGCAAAGTTTAGGCGTCTGTGTTTTACTTCGTCGGACGGAGTTTTTAATTTTTCATGATGGAAGAGGATAAATCATGAATAAAATTATGAAAACTTACTAATAAGTGTCACAAATACGCAAAAATACCTCCCCAGTTATGAGCTGCTGCATCAGATAAATCATTCCCTTCACTGCAAAGTTAATTTCGAAACTTCGTCATAAGATATCATTCTTATGCATAAAGATCGGTGAGAAAACAAATGAAATACATTTATGAATTCTTTGAAAATATTCAAGATCACTTTTACTTTAAATTCATATTTACATTCAGATGACGGAACAGGGACTTAGAGTAGGAAAAACACTAGATGGCTAGAAAAAAAAGAAAAGAAAAAAAAATTAAACATGTAACAGTCATCTATCATCTGCTTCTCCTTATTCTTCTTCTTCATATTCAGTTCCCCATCACTCTCATCCTCGTCTTCCGCTCTCAAACCGCATCAAACTTAAAAAACAAGCAACGCAAAAAACCGCAAAAATTCCAAAATTTCCCGGACTTGTAACTTTAAAACGTACTCGCAGTGTAATTAGTTTCGCACTAACTGCACTTTGTTTACATCGAAATAGGTAAAAAATTGAAAAATATGTACGTATTTGAAAGAAGCATCAGTTATCAGAGTTCACCAGTGACCGGTCGCGCGCGATCGCGGAGGCCAACAGATAAAATGGCATCATAGTCAGGGGCCAGGCAAGTAAAGGGGGGGGGGTCGTTACTTGCTAAAAGTTTCCTCAAGCTAGCTATCTACGCATACGTCCCAAAAAAGCTTTCTATAAGGAATATAGAGGGATGTCCGAGTGAAAATATGCCCGATTTTTTTTTTAGTTCTCCTATAGATATGTAGTTTAGGAAATAATGAAAATACGAAAAACGGGTCAAAGAGCACGTCTTGATGGTGAAACTTGTTTTTCAGTTTCTGATGAACAGGAATCATACCTACCTGGGTCATTTAGCAGTTACGAGAGTTCACTGGTCGCTTGATTTTCGAGATAAAGCTCGCGCGCAATCTCGGAATGCAACAGAAAAAGTGATGTCACGGCCAAAGTGGCGCAAAGTGGCACCCAAATTTTGCGGGATTGTATTCTCAGGACTCCTACGAACATGCCTATACAAATTTTTCTGGCGGATGGTGGAGGATGGGTAGTTAAAAGTTTACCTAAACTTTTTTTTTTCGCTTTTAGAGATGAGCACATTAGCGCAAACATAATCATTGAAAAAATGGGCCGAATACAAAAAATTACTGGTGCAATGTGTTCTCCAGACTCTGGAAAATAAGAATATGTCAATGAAACCAGCATTAATTTAAACAGAAGCAAGCTAAGTGCCGCGGCAGCTCACCGGTCGCTTGATTTTTGAGATAAGGCTCGCGCACAATCTCGGAACGCAACAGAAAAAGTGACGTCACGGCCAAAGTGGCGCAAAGTGGCACCCAAATTTTGCGGGATCGTATTCTCAGGACTCCTACGAACATGCCTATACAAATTTTTCTGGCGGATGGTGGCGGATGGGTAGTTAAAAGTTTACCTAAACTTTTTTTTTTTCGCTTTTAGAGATGAGCACATTAGCGCAAACATAATAATTGAAAAAATGGGCCGAATACAAAAAATTACTAGTGCAATGTGTTCTCCAGACTCTGAAGAACAAGAATATGTCAATGAAATTAGCATTAATTTAAACAGAAGCAAGTTAAGTGGAATAGAAAGACTCGGACGATTTTTCGCTAAAATAAAAAGTTACGCAAAGCCCCTCTTTGATGCCTTCGGTCACAAAAATGAACATGTTTCGTTCCAAATCAATGTCAGATCCTTAAAATGTAACTCTTGAGGAACACTTTTGACCCTTAAAAAATGCGATTCGCCCGAATCGCCCATGACCGACCTGTACCATTGACTCGATCCACCGTGCGCCGCAGCGTGCCACGGCGTCTGAAGCAACTATTTCACACCAGAGGTATTGCGCAGTATCATACGAAATTGAAGGCGCTCCATCATATTAAGAATGACAGGTATCCTTCAAAAGTACGGAACTTCCATCGCAAATTAAATCAAGATACTACGGCCCAAAAAGAGAGCGGTAGTCCAAAAACTCACTAAGTCCTAGCATCCGTAATTAGTAATGTTTAGCATACACTTTATCGCCTGGCTGTTGCTTAGTAGTCGTCGGCTATAAAAGGCTATTAGAAATTTTGTAGCCGGCTATAGAAGCTATTGGAGATCTTACAGCCGGCTTTAGGTCTATGGTATTTTGGAACACAGATTCTACTGCCAATTTTTACCAGGAAAGTTTCCCAAAAATCTGATAAACAGGAGCCGAGGTATTTTTATAGGGCACTTCGGCTACTTTACATTTTCGAATTTTGAAAATTTGATTTAAAACGCATGATATCCAAAATCTAAGGTCAAATTCGGAATCCCTCTTAAAAATCCATATGTGCTTCGAGTACTGTACGTTCGCATGAGGGGAATAGGCTGGACGGAGGCATAGGTACTGATTTGAACATATCAATCCAAAATGCTACGGGACATTACTTATCTAACTCCATGGGCGCCAGGCGCCACCGGCACTTTTGGCAGATTACGCAAGGCTGGCGGTATAGATAGAGGGTTGAATTCCGGGAAGATACTCACGGAAATCTTCCTCTTACACTGCTGAACCCCTTACCCAGTAAGTACCTATGTTGTCATGTTGGACTGATTCGTTAGAATTGCAACGGCGAAACTACCAGACCATGTATCTCGTTTAAGGTATGTTTAAAAATCTCTGCTCCCATTTTATTTTTTAACGGAGAACATATGAATTTCATTCCTTGAAGTTTTCATAAAGAGTTTTCCTCCCAAGGAGAGGAAAAATTAAGGAGATTTTCCAAAATTGACGATGAGTGGCTTTTCAAAATCTAAAGTATGACAGGATGTCTAAAGTCTACAACGTCGCAAACCGAGATACGTGGTGTAGTGGTTTCACTGTCGATCGGTCTTTAGAATTGCTCGACCACTTTCCTTCATGCTTTGCTAACGTATGATACACGAAATGCCATAGATTTTTAAAGAGGAGCTCGTATGCACCACCATTTTCCCTGTGAACATACAAGTTTTTACCGATGAGCCAGAAAATGCAGTTCTTAAAAATTGCAAAATGAAGTCCAAATATTGAGGTACTTTG